AATATTGATGTAAATATCTTAATATTCAATTCAAAAGTTACGTGTAAAATATCTTAATATTCAATTCAAAAGTTACGTGTAAAATATTTTAATATTCAATTTCAAAAGTTACGTGTTATTTTCTCGTGTGAAATAAATTGATTGTTATTAGGAGGAATTTTATTGGACAGAATTTGAATGATCAGTGTCCGAAATTTGAAATATACTAGTAAACTTGTGTGTTTTTAAACCCTAATTGAGAAATCAAAAAAGTAAACTGTAATTTTGAAAGAGGAAATTCTAATCTATCATTTTTACAGTTTCTTTTTTTTGTAGCATAAAAATTGAGGGACTAGATACATTTTAAAGTCACCCATAAATTCTTGATGACTTTAGGTGACACACACCATAGCTCCCTCAAAATTTACATCCTCAACTGAATCACCTGCATCTGCCAAACCAATTCTTAATGCATCCGCACCATATATTTCTATTGACTCATGACCAGTTAAGAAATTTCCTGTGCTTTTTACCCATTTTCTCTCCATTTAATTGCAAATGTCCATTTGACCTTATACCACGAGGCCAATGTTTTTCAGGAAATATGTAGACTTGATTATATATGAAAAATGTCAAATGATTTGGTATTAGATCTTTACCAGAAACCCGAAGATCCAGTGGGTAAAAGTATCGGAATTCTCTTCTCATAGTGTCAATTTTTTCTTTCAAAATAGTAGTTGAAGTTGGGTATTGTGTATCACAAAATATATAATCCCAAACTTCATCCATCATTTCTGATGCCTCTATCTCAAGTAGGCCAGTTTTTGAGCCATCTAAAGTACCACCATGAAGCAAATGAGATATGTATAATAGGCCATATAAATTGTTGAATCAGACAAACCTTCAACTAAATACTGAGAATCCCATGGAATTTTAGAACCAAGTCCATATGATCTTGCACAAGCCCATTGATTTAACCAAGCTAAAGTTTTTTCAAACTGATGCCTAGTCTCAAGACCAAAAGTATTTAATTTTTTCAAACATTCTTCAGCTTGCTTTCTCCATTCTGTCTCACCATAATCTAAATACCGTTGATCACAAAAGTACTACTACACATTCATCACCAGACCTTGACATAATAAGACCTTCAGGTTCATTATAAATAAAAGCCCTTTTGAAACCAACAAATCTTTGATTAAAGCTTTTGCCTCTCGAACAGTCTTCCCAGCATATTCACCTATGAGCATAGTTTCATCATAAAAGCCTTCTTTGTAGACCAATTCTTTAGCATCTGTTAAAGCTGCCCGATCCTTTTGTGAATTGATTTTTTTCAATTTGCAAACTTTAGGTGTGGCCAACTCACCATATGTTGGAGTATTAATAATTGGTATTGGTTCAAAATCTGCCACCCACAAAGGATCAATATTATAATATGCTGCCTTTTTCTTTAAATCCTGAAGTGTGATATAATCATCCGGCGAGTCTGGAGGTACCGATGTTACGACCCCTGTTCCTTTTGTAGCCAATACATTCTCCATAGGCAAGACATAGACATGCTCATATTTACTTAATGGTGCATGGACTTTTGTCCCAAGGAAAATTGAACCTTTAAATTCTACTAATTGATCTACAACACTGTGTTTTACAGAATATCCTTGAAATGCCATGTTTCATGCTGCACAATAAGTGCAGATAAAAATATCAGACTCGTTTATTTTGAAAAGACCATAATTTATATTTACACCAACATAACAATTAGTTTGTCCATACCTATATACAAATATATATATATTCACATATTATATATATTGTAATTAAATTTTTGAAAATTAAAATAATTACATGATTTCTGGCCTCAATGTTGCAGCAATAAAAAAATGTTTTTTCCTTCAAGCTCTTTATTTGCGCCCAAAATTTTATTAGCTTTCTATCACCTTGAGTTTAATACCAGTATATTTTTGAGGAGCTAGATCTTCGCCAGAATAATGATCATAATCCATACAAGGCTGCCCATCTTTTGGTGTAGTGCTCACTGAATTTTGTTTTATTAAGAACCTTCAACTTTCTCATTTGCCAATGTACAAATGAATCATAATAAGGATTTATATCAGTGATAATGAAAGATCGACACCAATCAATTTTTGCTCCCATAGCTTTACAATATTTCTACAATTTAATAAAAAACACTGTAAATTTTTAATTTCAAAATTAAAAATAAATTAAAGACTAAACAATACAAACAATTGACAAAGTAGGAAAATAATAAAGCCAATAATTTGCATCAGCAAATTTAGCTGTTTCTTCATTTGGTAAGCCTAAACTTCTCATAATTTGAAATTGCAACCTTTCCTTTTTTTTGCATCACTTTTGTTGTGCCAGCTCCAGACGAATCTAATTTTTTTGAATTGTTATCATTCAATGTTAAATCATCAACTCCTTTTTTAATATCATCAATTATTGTGTCATTGTCAGGTATTTTAAAATCAGGACCATATAATTCTAATTCACGAGCAAGTTTATCTGCACATGCCTATTTATACATATATATTAAATAAAAACTTTGATCTGCATATATATAATAACACATAGTGGTTAATTACCTTAATTGGCATACCAGTACAATGAAAGCCTAACGGGAACAATGCCCGTTTTCCTTTCATTCGTTCATACTCAATTGCAAATTCAACCTTTGTAATTGTAAAAAAAAAATGCCCCAAATGTAATCTTCTGTTCATATAAGGATAAGGAAAAGTGCCCATATATTTTGGGTATTTTTCATGTAAGATATTATCGTCCTGTTTGAGAGAAAATTTTTCAATTGTTGGTGCATTAACCTCTAGAATTTTTTTCTTTTTCCCATTTTTCTTGAATTTTTTGTTCTATTAAAGCCAAGGTGTCACGTTTAAAAGTCTTTTAGAAAAAAGTACATATATAAACATTAGGAGTTAATTAAATTCAAATCGAATGCAGATTTAAAATGAAATATCTTCTTGGGTTCTTCTGTAGTAGCCATATTATTATTATTTTTCTTCACAATTTGATAATCATAAATGACTCACTTTGATGGCACGTGATATATATTAATCTTAATTGACGATCCGCCTAATTAGGGTTTCTATTCGTAATGGCAATGGGTTAATACAAGTTGCTAATAATACAATATTAAGCATGATTTAAACTTCTCAATATAGATGTGAATGTGCAAGGTGGTTTTTTAAGCAATACTTGCCAGAGTTTATATTGATGCTGATTTGTATTGATCAAATCTTCATTATATAACAAACTTAATATATTACTATTATTAATATTAAAAGATATTGATAATATATTGCTCAATTGTATTAAACGTCAATCATTTCGATCATTTTCACTTGATCTTTTAAATAATGTTTTCTGATCCTTCAACTGACCGACAAAGTAGTTACCGTTTCATTACTATATGAAAATGAAATAAATACCCAGTGTATTCAATTCTTTTGCATGTTGAATCAGAGATAGTAATGTTTTCAAAGGAATATAATTTTGCCGTTATTATACCTATAGTATTAATATGCATATCACCATCCAAATTTCCGTTGCAAGTTTGGAAAGTTCTAATTTTTCTGCTTCTTCTTTGTGATCTATAGTCTTTTATTGCCGATTTTATACTTACATTTTCAATTTATTGAATAGAAAATTTTTTAATATTAGACATTAGTATTCTGTTACGAACCTTTCTGATTTTTTCTTTTATGTTGAATGCATATTGTGCAAAATGCTCATTTATGGATGGCCATAATGGGGCCATATAACCATTTTTGTTTGAAACTATTCGCTTTTAATTGATTTTTCATAATTTCTATTGGATTTAATAAATAATTTATTTGCAAACTACAAACATCAAAATAATAAAAAAAGGCGAAAATTCTGATTGGCACCACCATCCCAAATTAGTATAGTTTCTTGATTCGTACTAGTAATGAAGCATGGTATTTGGCTTATTATGTCTATTGTATACTATATCTTTTTATTAGTGTTCAGGGTTAGATTATTATTTGACTTCCACCTTATACCATATATATAAGCAAGCTACGAATAACATAATACTTGGAAAGCGCGATTGGCATCAATCTCTATTGTAGATGAAGTGAGAATGTACGTGGAAAGTCCTCGACGATGACTCCACCAATACAAGTAGAAGATTATCATTCTTTACCAACACCTTAAATCTCTTGGCCATGTCCATATTAGAAGGTCGTTTGCGGTCTCGTTACTTCTGTTAGTAGTACCTTCGTTACTTTTTGAATGATGTACCAGGTGATAATGATGATGGTATACAGATAATTAGCTTCTTTTTTTTAGTAAATATTTTTTTTAAAATTTAGATAGAACTAGTGCAACTATTATAATTGATGATTGATTTGTTTAACCTGTTATCTTTACTCACATGATAAAATTTCCAGTTGATCCCAAGACTGAGCAAATACATACTTTTATAGGGTTAGCAGTCATTAGGATCGGATCAGGCTTTACCGTCCCAAAACATAACATTCCATAATAGATTTAATTTACGATGAAGGTATTGTTCAATTACTCGAGAATACGGATCATATGAAATTGGATTTAATATCAAGTCAAAGTCAAAAAAGAAGCATATGTTCAATGATTAATAGTAGGATATGATTGGACAATATCACATTGATACACAAATTGTAAATATGTTTGATTGAATTGCAAGTATGGGATTTTTTTTTTTATGTAAAAAAACTTGTCAAATTCTAATCTTGATTTTTATATACATCAGATGTAACATATTATTACTCACAAAGAATATATATATTCCATTTTTGAGGTCGTCAGTCTCTGAAAAAAAAAAAAAAGAAAGTTAAAAAGGTTTGTAAGTTACATGTTAGTTTGATTTTTCATAGCTCTAGATATTATTATTTTACTGATATTAGTGAAGAAAAGTTCTGGTCGCGAAAAATCATTGTGAGAGACAATTGAAATATAGTCGCATAAAATAAAAGTGGAAGAGATTTGACCATCTATTGTGCTCTGAAATACTTGCCTTTCACAAAAATGCCAGAGCTGCTTTGCAATATTTTCAGGGATCGTTTCAAAAGTATAAGTCAAAATAATGTAATAATGGATATAGGTATGAAGTTTGTTTCAGAAGAATGTAATATGTTGGGTAAGACTAAATTTGGAGTGGTTAGATCAACCTGAAAAACTAGGACAAATAACAAGACAGTTGTTAGAACCAATCTTAATATTTTGTAGTTTTTTGTATAAAGCAGACTCTGATTATTAGTTAGAATATCACGGGGTTTTTTTTCTTTTTAGGGAGTAAAAATTTGGAGGTCATCAAAATAAGATTCGTTTACAAAAAAAAACGGAAAACACGGATGAACGAGGGATCTTGGTAATTGCACCATTGTTAAATATTATGATGAGTGATTTTCCGGGACATTTAGTAGCATGATGTATAACGTATTAGTTAATTACTTTATTCTCCAATTAAGGGCAAAGAAGGAAGTTTGGCCAGTGCAACAAGAAAAGATTCGCGAAAAATTGCACGAAGGCCAGATATTATATGGTGCCGACACAATTAGGAAATAATGCGGAACTTGGAATTTCTTATTTAAAAGTTGGTCAGCCAAATTCAACCCAGGCTAAACAACTACAAGACCATAAAAAGCTGGCATGTTTCATTGACACTATAAAGAGTTTTTCCTAACTTCAAAAAACATTTAGCCAATGACTATTTTACAATTAATATTACACAGGTAAAGCGGCAATTGTAATATAAGTAGTTTTTAAGGCTTGAATGTTTATACTCGACAATTATATATTAGGAGCCTATGCTATATATGTGTAAAGAAACAGGTATGGCTTGCTTGAACAAGCTTCAATTCCTTTACACATTACGTCTCAGAGCGGTGTTTCATGTGTTGATAACTTCAAGGGTTAGTTTTTCTTCCTGTAACATGCAATAAAAATAATATATTATTATTCCTATTAGACAGTGGTTGCGTACACTTTATTTAAGATCATACGCGAATCTGAAGAAGAAGGTACAAAACTATTACAATGCCTTAAAAACGCATATTGTAAATAGAACAGACCTTTGATCAATCTTGAAAAATATTAGTCTCTCCTGTGGTCCTAATTTATCATTTTTGGCTTTACAATCTTCTTTATGAACATAAAATAATTATGCTATTTGATTTATCTCAGATTAAAGAGTTCAAGATATAATTCTAGCAATTATTAAAATTAGTTACGGCTACTATTTCGGCATTTCGAATTTGGCAATAATCACACGTTAAGAGGAAGTAATTTTGCTAGCCTGGAGTTAGTTTGAAGAGGGCTGGCACGTTATCAAGTTTATAAAGTACTTGTCACCACATATATAAAGAATCGAATCCATTGTAAATAACACACCTATCTACTACATATATATATATATATAAATCGTACTCGTAGAGGGCGATCTAGGATGTAGGATATAAATTTATTTATTTCCATTCTGCTGAAGGCTTAAATAGACATTAATTATCATCAAATTAACTCGAAATTGAACATTACTTTCGGCTACACATAATATTGATTCTTTTTCGAATAAAATCATAATTAAAAATGTATACTGCAAACCTATAACACTATAATAAAGGTAATGAATAATATCATAGTGCCTCAAACAGCAGAACTATTTTTCATTATTTGCAAGTTAAGTAAAATCAAGTCATGATTTAATATATATATATATATATATATATATTTTGATTTTTTTGATTTTCTAATTTTAACTTGCAAGAATTATATTTTAAAAATTTTAAAAAGGTTTAAATCGAACTATTTATAAAAAAAAAATCTTTATTTGTCAATTGTAATAATAAGTTTCAACAAACAAATTGTAATAAACCTTAGCTAAGTTATATAGTACTAATATTGATTATTGAAAAAAATTTTTTTTTCAACGAATAATTTAGCCAATCATAATTTCATTTTATTACAGGTAAATTGAACATTTTGTGTTACCAAGAATTTCCAGTGTTGGCAAATGACAATTTTACCAATGTTCACTGTCTGGTTTTGTTGCAGTATGCCAAATAATAATAATAACGTAAAAAAATTTTTTTTTAAAAAATTTCAATTTATTGGTCAAAATTTATATAACCTTATGACCAAATGAAAATATGACCATATGACCACGTGACAATTTGTGATATGACCTGTGGAAAACATTGGTAATTGTAATTATTAATTAACATAAGAAAACAACGAACGCAATTCGGCGCAACATTCAGTCTCTATTTCAGGATTAATAATGGTATGATCATGCCGAAAAGAAGTCCACATGGCATGTTGATGTTGATGTTTAATGTTGAGGAGATATTGAAAATCAACTTTTGTTAAACTTGATTTTTGTGGGGGAGGGGAGAATTTTCTATTTTCGAGAGATGTTAAGTTGCAAATGTTTCTTTTTTTGTGTGTGTAAAAAATTTAATGAATGTATTTTCACTTTCTTGTAAGGTCGTAAAACCTTTCCGCTTTCAATGACCTTCCGTTTTTTCTCTTGCTAGTCTTTTAACTTGTACTTGATTTTCTCTGTCATCTTCTTCCATGTGGAAACCAACATCGATTTAATAATAATTATTATAAGAAAAAAATATATCTTTTTTTTTGTCATAAAGACAAAAAATTATTATCTTTTATCGTTATATTTTAAAAAACTATTACCTTTTTGATCAATTAATGAAGGAGATCTTTTATTTTTTCGATTAATTACAATAACCATTACTTTTTTGATGTGGTTTACATCAACCAATCCTCCCTTTCTAAAACTTGTTTGATAATTTATCCCATTTTTGTTCATAATAGAGACGTGGCGTATTCAGGATCCTTTTGTACAGCAGAAATTATCCTGTGGCGTCATGCCCCCGTATATTAATATAGTAAGTAGTAATTGTATAATAGATAGATATTCATGGAAAAACATTTTTTTTAAATAATTTTTAAAAAAAAATAAAAAGGTAAATGGATTGGCAAGAATCTCAAGCTCAATCTCAAATACAACGGCCTCCATTGCATCAACAGCAACAACAAACTCAGTGGCAACAATCACCACAACAGCAAAATCAGTGGAATCAAAATTGGTCTGATGAGCAAAATTGGCAAACTAGTTGGACTAATTCCTCCCTACAACAACAACAGCAACAATCAACATCTCAAAATCAACAACAACAACTACCATCATCATCATCAACAACAGCAGCAGCAACGATAAAGGAACAATCAAGTAAAAATAATGATTCTAATTCTAAAAAAGATTTTGATATATCAACTGTTGACATAAAGGCTGTAGCAATGTCATGGCATTCTTTTGCCAACCCTAATATAAAAGAGAGAGATGATGGTTTGGGTTCAGGTCAATTACATCGTCATGGAAGAAATTATATTCCTGTTGATGAAGAAACTTTATTCGAAATTCAGAATAAAAAAAACGTTGGTAAAAAAAAAAAATCCCTACCTCTTCCACCATCGCCTCCTCAACCTAGATCTTATAGAGATCCTATCCCTCCTTCTAAAACCAAGCCTTCTTACAGATCTTCACCTTCCACTTCTCATAGGCCACCACCACCAACGTCAACACCAACGTCAGCATTAAATTATTATAATCAGAAACAAAGTAGTTATCACCAGAGGAATTCTTATCAATCACGATATAATCAGCAAAAACAATCTCATCCACAAGATTCTGCCAATTGGAGATCAAGATCTAGGCAAAACACTACAGATCAGGATACTAAATCTCAACCAGATTATAATAATAATGTTAATGTTAAGAATGTTAACAATAATGTTAAAAGTAGCAATGATGTTAATAACAATAATGTTAAAAGTAACAGTGATGTTAATAACAATAACATTAAAAGTAACAATGATGTTAATAACAATAATGTTAAAAGTAACAATAATGAAAATGTTATAACTAATAATAATAATGATAAAAATAATAAGGAAAACTATAATGACAACAATTATAATAATTATAATAATTATAATAATTCAGCAACAATACCTTCAAGCACTCTGAATTCACAATCTGATAAAAATCCTTCTTCACCAGTTCTACAATCCATTACAAATAAATCAACCAATGATAATGACAATAATATGCTGTTCATTTCTCAAGAATTTGACTCAACTACATACTGGAATCAGGCACCACCACCACAACCATCACCACAACAACCACAACAACCACAACAACCACAACAACCACAACAACCACAACAACCACAACAACAACCACCGCCACCATCAACATCACCACAACCACCTTTCCCACCCCCTACTAATAATAATGAAATGCAGCTAATCAAATCCAGGGAAAGCAATAATAATTATTATAATAATTTTAATCAAGAGAATAATAATTATTGTATTAATCAGCAACAAGATTATTATAATCATCATGATTCATATCCAATGGTTAATCCAGCATTAGAACAGAATTATTCTACTATTCCAAAATGTGTTGATAATCATGATCATGGCCAGCTTCTTTTAACAATAAATGCGGAACTTGAGGATGGTCATACTCTAACAATCTGTGTTCATGTCAATGATGATCCTGCTGACTTGGCAAAAAATTTTTGTGATTCATTGAAGGTAACAAATCCATTGTTGGAACCTGCATTAGTAGCTTTAATTGAAGAAGAAATGGATGTAAGACTTGGTTCACTTTAATCAATGTATTAAAAATAGTGATAATGATAATAGATTATATTTATATTTTGGGTTTATAATTAATTTAATAGATTTATTTTTTATTTTTTTCTTAATAAGTCATATAAGTAATTTATTTTTTGTGGACAAAAGTTTTGGTCACTACAAATAATTAATTAAACAAATAAAATATAAATAATTTGTACCGAATTAAAGACACTCAAGAAAAAATAAAAAAATAAAATCTGAAAAAATATAGGCTGCCAAAAAAAAAAAATTGCTCAAGAATTTATATAACAACCACACCTGAAATTTGGCACGTGATAGGTTGAAACCTGACAAAAGGTACTAGTCGAACGATTTGTCACATTAAACAATTGGGAAGTGTATTTTCCGAAATTTTCTGGTGATCAACGTCGAAATTCTATTAATAAAATTAGCCACAAACCTTAATTTTAACCCTTTTTGCTCACCAATCTCCACCAAATTTGAGACACAGATTTTTCAAGACTTATTCCTTCTTTTAGAAAAAAATTAGGAGAGGTTATTAATAAAATAGAAAAAAATCTTGGTGCTAAAGTTTATCAACCAAATTACCGCATTTGGAAATTAATTATCTATTTTGGTTATGGCTCCTGATAATCTCCTGCCCACAATTTTTTCCTTTAATAAGAAACGTTTTTTTGGAATGGTGATACATTCAAGTAGTTATTCTCCATTATTTTACATTTTGTAATGTATTATTAATTTTTTAATTCACAATTTATCCAACAATAAAATTAGATCGGTAATTTATGGTTGAAGGTTGAGAATGCCACCACTCACTTGTTGGCTTTCATTCATTAATTCATTCGCCTAAGCTCAAGATCCTGTAAAAAAGCTTGGACATATCAAATATTTATATGTGATTTGTAAAATGTAAAAATAAGAGAGGTATTGCTATTACTTTATTATTGATTTGTCAATTGTATATAAAAGTACTTATTAATTATTCTGAAATAGTAAAATATAGATCATGGAAAAAGTAAAAATATCATTAAACTTGGACAACTACAATGCTTGGCTGTTTCTGCTAAAGGGTATAAATAATTATCAACAGGTCAATGTAATATATCTATTATATCTGTTTTCTAATGACAAATTGTAATAACAAATGGTCACATATCTGAATAAATTATATTTGTTGTTATATTAAATGTATTAAAAGTGTTGAATGTTAAATCATGGTTGTGCTGTATTTTTATTTCAATGATCAACACCAGTGTTTAAATTTCAATCAGGGCGCATCACGTTACACGAGATTTCTATGTGCACGGAAATATTTATTCCAATTAATTAGTTTGTCATACACAAAATAAATAAAAATTAATATCATTTAAAAAATCCAGGGATAAATTATTATTAAATAATTTTTTCAAATTTATTAAAATGTCAAACCAGCAATTAATCAATTTTTCTAGTTAAATTTCAAATATTCCAATGGAAGTTGAAATCATTGATTTGTCTGATGATCAAGATATAGAAAAACTTAAAAGACAACATATTAGAAAAACTGTTGATCCCAAGTCTTATACCTCTTTCCAATGCTCATGTGGAAAGAATATTTTCCCAAATGAAATTAATTAAAAACAATTTGAGAAATAAAATGCATTTAAATACATTAGATGACCACTTAATGATTTTATTAAATGGTCCAAAAATTGAAGATTTTGATTTCTTAAAAGCATATTGGAACTGGGAAAGTAAAAAACCAAGGAGAAATAATTAATTTCTTTATTTGTAAAATAATAAATTTAGTATATATATTTTTTTAAAAAAATAAATGTGCACACAGTCTGTGTAACGTGATACGCCCTGATTGAAATTTAAACACTGATCAACACATTTTGCCATCCATTTCTATATGATATACTACAGTCAAGTATTTTACCAAATTTGGAAATACTAAATGCCGTAATGATCGATGGTATGAAAAATTCTAGAAGAAATTC